CCTTTAGAACTGACCATATTCCTTCAGTGGTTTGATTGGAATATCATCAAGCTACAAGGATACATTTGTGTTTGCATAACAACTTTATTACAAAATTTCTGCTTCTCAGTGTCAGTATATTGCACACGTTTATGAGCACTGCGCACTGACGTATACCTTGGATGTCCATGTGTAACTTCCTGTGTTTGAAACAAAGCTCAGATGCATCTGAGGTGTATGTCAGTGGTGCAACCGGGTGAGACATGCATAAAGAGCACAGCGCTCTTATTGTTTGGGTGAACTAACCCCTTAATGGTGAAGAATTTCTGTTTTTGTCTATCTACATTCTCAGTTTGATACTAATGACTCGCCCATTGATTAAATCTGTCAGGTCAGTCCTTCAACTGCCGGATCCTATGGGAGCACACAAGAGGGCGATACAGTTGCCTACAATGCGGCCACTGCACCCCAGACCGGGGGGAGATGACTGCTCACATTGAGGGCCAGCACAAAAACCCGGGAGGCAAGGCTAACAGCGATCATGGTATGACTTTGTCAACCTCATTTCAATGAATACGTTAATGAAAACATTTTTCAGGTTTTTGAATTTTGCACTGATTTTTGGTCCAGTTTGCAGAATAATGTTGATGCTTTATTTGCTGGACATCAGGGCTGTGTAATATGTATGATCTATGATAATATCGCAGTTGTTGTTTTAAAGCAGAGATGCTCAAACCAGGGCTTGCAGGCCAAAGTTGGCCCATGGTATCCTATGATTTGGCCTGCCATATCATCTGAGAAGAGACGGAGAATAATGGGGATGGTTTCGAGATTGTTAATTCAAATTTAACGTAACCCTTTTTTTGTGTGTGTGTTTGGATTGTTGTTAAAAGCTATCTGAAATTGAATGTTTCAATTCAATGGTGTAAATGAATTAGATTTTGTTCAAATGTAAATACTGTCACTCAACAATACACAGACTTTGGTAAGCAAATCAAGTAAAAGGCAAATTCTGCTTGACTAGTGTATTCCGCATTGAACTCCTGTGTGTTATAAATGTGATTGTTTTTATTGCATTAAGTTAGCATTTAGAAAGTTATACTGCATTAGTTAATACGATTTAAAGTAATGTTTAATATTTATTTTGAAAATATTATGAAAGATGTACCCTTGGCAACTTTAATGTAATATAGTTTGGTTTATATTTACCTTCGGCCCATTGCTCTTAATGGTATTTGGTTTTTGGCCCTTCATACGGAAATGTTTGGGCACCCCTTTTTTAAAAGAACGATAAATAAGTGTTGGATCTTCAAATCAAAGTATGTTGCCTAGGTTACCTTAAAACAGGGGTGTAAAACTCTGTTCCTGGAGGGCCGCAGCCCTGCACAGCTTAGTTCCAATACACTTGTCTAATAAAAGATTGTTAGTTCTATTAAATTTCGTCAGTGCCATTTCAGCTACTAAGGCCCTACTAAGGCCCTACTTTCTGCTGAATCTGAATTGCACAATCTGAATTCCTGGTTTTGAATTTTAGAATATTGAATTTGATGTTCTGAATTACTTCATCTTGAAAATTTGAAACTGTATTTTTACAAACAGGACATCTGCATTCTTGGAATTCAGGACACAAAAAATGTGAAGTTTAAAAATATGTCTATAAAAAAAATTCAGCCTTGAAAAATTCAGTTGTGTTAAATTTCAGATATTCAATATTCAAGTTAGAAATTCAGATTAGGAAATTCAAAATCAAAACAGTTTTAACGGCATATAAGAATTCAGATTCATTAAATTACAGTTCAAATTAACTCAATTCAATTTCAGATTGTTTTGGGATATTTTAAGCTTAATACACACCTCAGCTATCTGAATAAATGCAAAGAGAGGAATGAAAATTGTTAAAACCTTTTTTAGAAAAGTTATTTTCAAAATGATGGCCATTAAAAAAATTACACCTTATCATAAACCATCCCACTTCAAAGAGCTCAAGCATGCAAACTGGCTGATAATGCTAGTACTATTAACAGAATGCCTATGTGTCTTATGTTGCGTTGATGTATTTATGGGAAAAGCCAAAATGCATTGCATGTATGGAATTTAAATTTTTTTTTTTTTATGGCAATAATCATTAGAATATAAACCGAAGATTGTCTTCTATGAAGACGTTTGGTAAATGTTTATTGTGTAAGCATATATAGTATATTTTGATTAGTACTATATATTGCTAAATAGTCAATTTGGACAATTGTAAAGGTAATTTTCTCATTATGTTATTATATACATACTTACATATTATATGTTGTGTTGATTTTTTTAACCCTCAGATTTCAGATTTTCAAAAAGTTGTGCCAAAGAAAGCTAATCTACTCAGCTTTCAGATATTGTGTAAATCTCAATTTACAACAATTGACTCTTGTGACTGGTTTTGTAGTCCAGTGTTGCATTTGATGGTATGAATGGTCGTAAATCTTTTAAAAATACATTGATGTTAAAATACATTATGATGTTATATTGATGAACCTCATTTGTATTTTACAGATGCAGAAATTGGTACTGCTGCTTTACTGGCAAAAACGTCATTGCACTCTGAAAACTCGACATACACACAGCTCTAGCATGAATCAAGATGCTAAACCTGCTAGTTTGCAAAGAACTTTTGATGTTGCTCTTTATACAGAGACAGAAAAGGGTTTCCATTTGATCAACAGAGTGGACTTCAGGATTCTCTATAGTCTGGCTCTCTCGCCATCATTATTCATAAGCGTGATGTGCTGCATGCCTTGTCTCTTAAGTTAGCATTGGAGTCTAGGCTAAGAAAATACAATGCTAGTTTTCACTGAATAATATGTAATAGCATATTTAATTTCAGTAATGTTGTAATATGTCACCTACTTTTTTTTAATCAGAAGTCTATCAACAAGAAAAGAGATTTTCTTCAAGACAATTACAAATTGGCTTCTTGTTATCATGTTATAACATGTCATATTTACAGTTAATTTTGGTTAATTCAGTAATAAATTATTTTGTTTGTAGACCAATTGTTTCTGTAGACTTTACAGTTAGCAAATAAAACGTGTCAAGAAAACTCTTTAAAAAGTGTGAAGTTGTAATTTACCATTTTATTAATGTTTTACTTTGGGTTGTTTTTTATTTAATACTGCTTATAATGTTTGAACTTGTGTAGTTGGTTACTGTAGACCGTTTTGTTTTAAAATATGCTTTTAGAACTACAAGGAAGAGTGACTGGAAACTTTTCGTAAATATATGCAGTAATGGCTGTCATACCTTTAATTATTTGCATAGTATATAAGCACATAATCGTAGTATGCAAAACGTGGAAGAGAAAGCAAGAAAGAAAAGGAGCCATTCTACTTTTATTTTAAAAACTGTCAGTGTCGCGGCCATTTGTTCAAATTGTTCAGTTTCTTCCTTCACACTCCATCAGATGTGTAACAGCGAGGATGCACATTCAATCTACTTCAGCGCTTTTGTAAATAAACTAAAGCGGAACACAGGCAACAATGGAGAACATGGTAATAAGACTTCACCGACACTGCCAGACAGACATTCTAGAAAAATATGCATGATTTTAATATTTAAGCGTTGATATTGAAAGACGCGAGGGCCAACGTTTCTGAGAAGATGGTCTGAATGCTAACTTAGCCAGCTAGTCTCTCTTGCGAGAATTAAAAGCAGGAAACCGGCGGAAATTATTTGTGTCTTTATGTTCATCTTGATCGTGATGAAGATGTGCTTAAATAAACCAGAGTGTCCTTTAAAACCGGTTTATTTGCATGTAGGACAGATGGACTCTTGAGTTCCAGCACTCACTAGCTGTCCGGCTAGTCCGGAGTCTGTCTCTTAACCTAGAGAGCTGCCTTCATAGACAGCATTTTTGGGTGTCACAAGCGCGCGAACGTTCGAACGCTCCAGTAACCGAACATGCTGCCTATGTAGGGTGCTCACGGTGTTTTGAGACGGTCGCTATGAGAACATTCTTCCATTTCAAGGTTTGATGGATGTGTAATGTTAGCTTCTGTAATTATACAACAAAGCTTAGTTTCTAAAAATGTGACAGGATGTTAAATCTGTTCTGTGATCTAGATAAAGCCTCTGATTTGGCATTGGACTATAACTTAAAAATCAAATGTATTAATGTCTTGGCAGCTTTATGTTACGGTTATACACTGGCTTTACAAGGAAAAAACTTAATCATGACTTTAAAAAGTCTGTTTGACATTGGCTGTATTTATCTAACAGTGTTTTCATGAAGTTGGGTTCGGTTTAAACCGGTTTATATATTAAACTGTAATAGTGTTTTATATGATGATGTCATTATTGTAGTTAGGTATTATTAAAAAGTTATTATTATTATAAATGAAGTATATGTACCACGTTATACCAATTAATGTTAACTGCCGTCTATCTATCTGTCTGTCTATCTATCTATCATGTAATCTGACTTGGCTTTTCCATGACTAGATTTTCTTTTGTCATTTGTCAGGGGAGCCACATGAACAAAACAGACAAAAATATCTTTGAATAAACTCAAATTGAACATTTTTGTCTCGTTGTTTTTGCCTGCTTTTGTTCATGTGGTCCCTTGATAAAATGCCAGCTCAGTCAACACTGACAAGGAATTTATTAACCACTAAACTAACGCATTCAAGCCTATCAGTAATTTTGTTACTGTACCAAGAAAAACTGTAAATGGTAAACCATCATGCTCATGATAAATGTCACAGAACTGTAAGTTTCCATCTCCAGCTGTCAAAGAACTAAAGCAGGTTGATTTCTGGCAGACAAACAAAATGTAGATCTGACAGTTCTGTTGCTTTCTTTTAGTTACATTATTACAGTTTGTTCGTGTGTTTGTATACACTATCTGACAGAAGTCTATACAAGTTTTAGGAAAAACAAATAATACTTGACTTTTAGTTGATCATATGGTATGAAGTGGCTTATATGAAAGGCAAAGCCCTCTAGATTATGCTTATTGTACCAAAATAAAATATGATCATGTCTTGATTTTTAATTTTTTAATTAGGACAGTAAGGTCTGACTTTGCTTAGACAGAAGTCTTGACACTTAACAGAAATAATGTCCAGTATAGAATATAAAGTCATGCTGCACTGGAAAAATAATTAAATTTGTGTATGACTCCAGTAACTTATTAATAAAGTCATCTGGAATGACAAAGAAAGCGCTCTTGCAGGACTCCCAGAGTTCATCAAGATTCTTTGGATTCATCTTCAATGCCTCCTTCATCTTTCCCCACACATGCTCAATAATGTTCATGTCTGGTGACTGGGCTGGCCAATCCTGGAGCATCTTGACCTTCTTTGCTTTCAAACTTTGATGTGGAGGCTGAAGTAGAAGTAGCAGTGCTATCCTGCTGAAGAATTTGCCCTCTCCTGTGGTTTGTAATGCAATTGGTTGCAGAAATGTCTTGGTTCATTAGGCTGTTGATGTTTCCATCAACTCTGCAGATCTCTTGCACGCCCAAATACTGAATGTAACCCCAAACCATGATTTTTCCTTCACCAAACTTGACAGAATCTGTGAGAATCTTGGGTCCATGCCAGTTCCAATGGGTCTTCTGCAGTATTTGTAAGGATTTGAATGGAGTTCAACAGATGAATCATCTGAAAAATCTACCTTCAGCTACTTTTGCAAATGAACAACTAGAAATCCAGTTATTATTTGTTACTCTGACAACTGGGATTGATGACAATACTTTTGTCAGGGTATATATATATATATATATATATATATATATATATATATATATATATATATATATAGATATAGGTAGATAGATAGATAGATAGATAGATAGATAGATAGATAGATAGATAGATAGACAGACAGACAGACAGACAGACAGACAGACAGACAGACAGACAGACAGACAGTTGAAGTACTCCTGTTCAGAAAAAGTGATGGTTGACTGTAGTTTTGTCTTATTTCAGTGCACTGTTCAGGTGAAATTGGAGCTGGGACACAGAGCCCAGTTAAGGAAGAAAGTCACTACCGAGGGCTTCACACATGACTGGATGGTGTTTGTTCGGGGCCCGGAGGCATGTGACATCCAGCACTTTGTGGAGAGAGTTGTCTTCCGCCTTCATGACAGCTTCCCAAAACCTAAGAGAGGCAGGTTATGTTTGAGTCAACTTGATAACATTGTAATTTTAGACTCACTGTAAGAAAGTTCAAGGTGCCTTTTAATCAGGATTAAAGTATTAGTGCACTTCCCCAAAGAAAATATCCTAATAATTAACTTACGCTCTTGTCATCCTAGATGTTAAAGGGATAGTTTACGCAAAAATGTAAATTCCATCACCATTTACTCACCCTCAGGTTGTTCCAAACACAAATAAATGTCTTTGTTCTGCTGAACACAAAGGGTGATATTTAAAAGAATGTCAGTAACCAAACAGATCCCATTTACTGCCATATTTGGAAAATAAATCCTATGGGAATAGATGGGTGGCGAGATTTGTGTGGTTATTGACATTCTTCCAAATACATTCCTTTGTGTTCAGCAGAACAAAGACATGTATACAGATTAAATGATGGCAGAATTTTGATTTTTTTTGGGTGAACTGTTCTTTTAGTTTAAAAGAAATTAGTGTTTTTTTGAGGGAAATATGCTGTGATTTTCCTTATAATGGATTTTTTTGGTGCTTAGTGGTTTGAACCTCCAAAGCAGTTTCAAAGAGCTTTTAAATAAGTCCCAATGGGGAATTAGGATCTAGCGAAATGCTGTAATTGATCATTTTCCTATGAATTTTTAACCACAAATATTTGCATTCAAAAAATACGAACAGTTTCAGTAGGTAAGGCCATTTAGCAGCCTATTAAGCTGCATTAAAACTTAACTTTGGATTTTCAAACTACTGAGCACCAGTGTTGAGTAAAGTTACTTTTTAAAAAGTAACATATTACAATTTACTTAATAAAGTACTTCTTATTGAAAGTCCTGTATGTTATTATAGCTTTTTTTTTTTATTAAGATAGGATTAAGATTGTAATACATTACTTTTAACAGTACTTCAGAAGATTATTATGTAGTATGGGGAAAATCCTTAACTTTTTCCCTTAAAAAAATTCCTCAGAAATGTCCAGCACTACACTGTCATTCACTCATTCACTAATCCCTATATAGTGTATATAATAGAAAGAGGGAACGAAAATGAGTGAATTAACTCAGATCCTGATATCCTGATCCAAACATTAGTCTGTCCTGACAATTTTGTCATAAAATATTTACATGTCGCCTTGGTGTAATGAAATTTATGTCACTGTTAATTTGTCACATATAGTTGAAGTCAGAATTATTAGCTCTCCTGTTTATTTTTCCCCCAATTTCTGTTTGACGGAGAGAATATTTTAACACATTTTTAAACATAATAGTTTTAATAACTCATTTCTAATAACTGATTTGTTTTAGCTTTGTCATGATGACAGTAAATAATATTTGACTAGATGTTTTCAAGACACTTCTATACAGCTTAAAGTGACATTTAAAGGCTTAACTAGGTTAATTAGGCAGGTTAGGATAATTAGGCAAGTTATTGTATTTCGACAGTTTGTTCTGTAGACTATCAAAAAATATATAGCTTAAAGGGGCTGATAATTTTGACCTTAAAATGGTTTTTAAAAAATTGAAAATTGCTTTTATACTAGCCAAAATAAAACAAATAAGACTTTCTTCAGGAGAAAGAATATTATCAGTCATACTGTGAAAATTTCCTCGCTCTGTTAAACATCATTTGGGAAATGTTTAAAAAAAAAAAAAAAATCAAAGGGGGGCTAATAATTCTAACTTCAACTGTATGTTGTATTAATTGAAAACAGAAACACTTGCATACTTATTTTCTTTTAAATTACATTTAAAATTAAAGACTGAAAACACTACTAATTGTATTTGTTTAAAAAAATGTGTCAGTATTAAAAAAAAGTAAATTACTTAAATATTTAAAAAATAGACGTGCAAACATGTAATATTTACCCATTTTTGCAGTGTTTCCAATTAAGGTTGCACCTTGTGTAATCTTACATTTAAATGTTTTAAAAGTTATTAAACTTAAAGTTGCTATTTCCAGTGTTGCTCTCCAAAATATTTTTTCTTTTTTTTTAGTGATGGTGTTTATCGAGCGTACATTAGCTGAAAATCAGAGTGAATTGTTGAAAAAAGTTGTGGGACACCAATGTCTGACACTTAATTTAGTGCAGTATATAGTGGATAGGGAACAGCTTAAGACTCATGTTTATTTGTAAATGACGATTCATTTGACTTAAATAAGTCGACGAAAATGAACAAAACCTCACTCAGAAAAACATTATTTGAATTATTATTGAAGAATTCCTATAAATTTGTCAGAATTGCAAACCTCTACTACTTGTTATGCTTGCTTTTTAGTTTTAACTTCTGTTAAACTTGCATAAGATGTGATATAGAAATACAAATTAGCTGGGGTCCGTTCTTCGTACATGGATTACTCAGTTAGCTCAATTGGTTATAGATTTGACACGATTCATGATCGTTTCGTTCTTCAAAACTCTTCCAAGAGTTGTTGTCATAGCAACAGATCTGGTAGCTCAAACCTGCTCGGGGCAGGCTCATTTTTATATAAACAGGATTGGATCTGTCTTTTCAAGCAAAGGTAATACTGAAAGTATGTACCAAAGTCTGTTATCTTCTAACAGTAGTAGTTATTTACACTTGAGAATATACTAAATAGTTAAGAATTTAAATAGATATAAATAAGTAAAATATATATATAAAATATATAGAAATTAAATGTATGCAATATGCACTCTGAAATAAAAGTACAAAAGTGTCACGGAGGGTTCTCTCCCCAAAGGGGTCTAAGAAAACGTTTATTATTATGGACTTTTTAGATACAAACGCGTACTATTTTAAGGTACCAGCTTTAGTACAATTTGTGTAGAATAACAGACATGCACAATATTCAACTTTTTTTTTAAAGGAATAATCATTCATTATTCATAATTATTCATTGCTGATCATGATTTCGAGGATTGATAGATCAGTCCTTCACAAACTTGTTTGAAGATCATCCTAGATCATCTTAGATCATTTAAGCGAGGTACGAAGAATGGACCCTGGTGATATTGCTTTTTTAATTTCCTTTTTTTAAATTAATAAACAATATGCCCTTTATTGCAATAGTTAAATATAATTATGTTTGTTTGAGGTGTGTTTCACAATGCAAATAGTTTTATCATATCAGTGATTTATTTGTCAAAAAATATTAAAACAATGATCTAGATCAATCTTTGTTTATGCTAATCTTTCTTATCCCATGTAAAATATAAGCAATTTTTAAGTAGACTTATAATGTAGATAATGTAAAATAATGCAAACACTGTGTCTCTGGTGCTTTCAAAATATCTTCCTGTTTGCTTGAGTGGTCTGATATGTCAACCTCTGCCTAAGCCAATGGCGTGATTTTTGGGGCAGGGCTATCAGATAGAAGCAGTGTTGCGGAAACCTGTTCGGAAAAAATGGTTATTTCTGCAATTCCATTGTGTCAGTAGTGGGAGATGTAGTGTGGATATGTAGATCGATTTAAATTTATTTCTCCATATCAGTGTACATTGTAAAAAAATGTAACCATACATCTCTGACAGTATTTCTCTTGTTCTGCAGTTTGTAAAGAACCCCCATATAAAGTGGAAGAGTCGGGTTATGCTGGTTTCCTCATGCCTATAGAAGTCTATTTCAAAAACAAGGTGAGGACATCTCTTCGTATCTACAGCAGTATCTGCATTGCTTCATCTGTGACACGAAGAACTGGTATTTCAGGCAAACCGCATTAAAAGAGTTGCGCAAAAGCCTTTTTAGATGTGTGTGAGGAAAATATCCAGCTGTGCTGTTCATAAGCGCTTTGTTGCCAGTATTGGAAAAAAAAACAGATGAAGAGTTTTGCAATTCGGAAAAGGTAAAGGTCAAATAACTAGGTGAATTCAGTATTTGCACTGTGAGCTAGAAGGTTTTAGAAGCACGTAACGGAAAATTGACATGAAGCTGCTGAAATAAAGAGAACATCAAGGTAAATGGATTGTAAACGGTAAGAATGTGTAATCTTGTGTAAATTAATTTTGTAAAACGTGTGAGTTTGTATTGTGCACCTTCATCTTTTTGATATCATTATAATTTAGTATATTTACTTGTCATTTAATTTTTTTACTTTTCCAGAATCAGTAGTAAAATATTCTGTGGGGTTTTCAGTTTTCTTTTATTTCCTCCATCTAATTTTACAGTAAAATTTTCACATGCTGTTAGATTGAGGTGCAGGTTTGATACTGATATTCACCGTTTTATCAGCACAGTTTAAATATATTTCTGTGTGTAAGCCTGAAGATGCTTGTTTCTTCATTGGCAGGAGGAGCCTAAAAAGGTGTGCTTTAATTATGACCTTTTCCTGAACCTGGAGGGGAACCCACCCGTCAACCACCTACGCTGCGAGAAACTCACGTTTAACAACCCCACTCACGAGTTTCGACGCAAGCTAGTCAAGGCCGGTGGGGTGAGCTGGACTATTTGTGTTTGCTTTTGTGTTTTGTACCTCTATAATCAGCTCTTTTCATTGGACTCTCACTCTCATTCTCTCTTTATGTTGAGGTGTTTTTCTCATCTCAGGCTATCGTTGTTCCTGAGGGAGCGGAGATGATGCCTCGACCCAGTCCGGATTATCCAATGCTGCCGACTATTCCACTCTCTGCCTTCTCAGACCCTAAGAAGATCAAGTCAAGTCATGTGGTAAAGGTTAGTAATAATGGCATCTGTTGGTTAAAAGAAATATTATTAGATTTTAGTATCAGTATGTTAGGCTAATTGTCATATATAAACGCGTGTGCTCCACAAAATAGCATTATAAGATTTAAACATCCAAAGCTTGCAGTTTTTACTTCCACCAGAATGGATCTACACTTTTTTTGACATCACATCAGACTTCATTTTCTCATCAAATCTTTTGACCAATTGAAATGCTCTGTAGTATCTGACATGTCCCGCCCCCTTCCAGATGCTTTTTTTAATATGCTTTTCACTTGATGTTCTTGATCTCAAGCTATCTCACTGGCAGAGCTGGGGTCAAAGAAAACTCTTACCGGCCTGTCATCATGTTTCAGTTGAGATTACGTCAAACATTTTTTTAAAAAGTGCACATTTCAAAACACTTCACAAGACCTTTAAAATGAATTTAAAAAGTTTAAAGCATTCCGTGTTTTAAATTTGATTATGTAAATTCTTCAGGTTGATATTCATGTTAAAGGGTCACGAAACACCACAACACATTTTTTGAGCTGTTGACAGTCGTATATGTGTCCCACACAGCTAAAAACACTGTTAGGACAACTATATTTCACTAAAAAGTGTAAATTGGTTGTTTTTGCGTTATTTCAAGCAAATTCGTACTTCCAGTTTGAAACAAATTTTTTAAGCTGTGTCACGACCATGAGATAATAGCGTGTATTCCAGCATGCAGACTGGGCGTCTGTGCCAGAGTGTGTCTTATTACGTCTTACAGTGTGTTGCATTAATGCATGAGTAAGGCTTGGTTCAAACCAATCAGCGCGCTCTATTGTGCAACTTCATTAATATTCATTACTCTCATAGTGTTTAGACGACAGAGACGCCACGTTGTGTTGGAAAAACAAGCGTGAAGTGTTGCTTTAATAGTCTGCTGCAGTTAAGTTTTGTTTTCATTTTCTCTCTGTGAGAGCTCAGACTGTGGATTAACAGTGTACGCGACGCTCGACAACAATAACTTACGTGTCTAAGGAGGAACATTGTTTACCTGAGAGCTGTTCTCATTTGCTAACGCTGACATCCGGATTCGCTTGTAACGTTAGTCTTCTCTTAATAAAGACGCGGCTCTAGTTGCTGGTGATTGTCCTGTCTCTACAGATTTGGTAAGTGAGCGACCAGTGCTCTTTGTTTATTCAGTTTGTTCGTATCGAACAAACTATTGCACCGAGTGTAAACATGTTAGCACTACAACCAAACTTTAACCTCGTGTAGGATTTTTACCGCATTTTGTGACCGGGATAACACACGCAGCTTTCTGACGCTACCTGCCGTGTGCATCTAAGTTTCGGGGAAATGCGGAGGGTTTTTTTTTCTCATTCGCCGTGCGATATCAAACATTGCATGAAAAATACACGCTTAGAGCAGTTCCTCGAATCAAATATCTTGTTTGTCGCGAGGGGCATGACTGAATTCCCTGAATGAAAGAGCCAAACTGCAGTTAAAGTCCACCATTTAATAATTTGGCAAATAATTCGACTACAGATGTCCATGTAAACACAGCCACTTTCTCCCCTGTGTGTGTGTGTGTGTGTGTTTTGACTCTGAAACTCAGCGTGCCCAAATAGACACTCCCACACCATCCCACTTTAGTTCCTCCGACACTCCCCCCTAAACAGAGCTGGACACGTCCACTTTTCAGACTTTTTCCAAAGTAGAGGTGTGAAAACACCCTGCTGAAACGAGGGGGTTTCATGGCCCTTTAAGGTGCTCTATTTATAACACATAAACCTTTGCTATTAGCGACACCGGTGGACATTAAATGAACTGCAGCAAGTCCATTGAGTTATTGCAACATTTGTAATATTTTAAATAGTTTATCCCATAAAAGTCATTTTTGCTTCAAATGACAGTTTGAAAAAAGAAACTTCTTTCCTTAAAGGTTAGCAAAAAATGTAATTTGTAGGTCAAAAGTATTATTATTAAATCAATTGGTTAAACAACTTAACTTGTCTATTTTAGATATTTAAGGCATTCAATGTTCTATATGTGATGGTTTCAATCATCTAAGAGTGTGTTCCCGATAACCATCATTAGCCAACTAAGGTCGCAAGTTCATAGTTAGTTGATTTGGCAATTCCCAAATCCATCGTTCCAGTGAACATTCACAAACTTGTACAATTGCAAACTTGTACACTTGCAACTACACCTCTAGAGCTGTAGTAAGAGGCATAGTTCCTGGTTGTGTTCTATTTCCTGTTATCCCACCTAGGCTTGGGCGGTATCCAAATTTTGATACCGTCAAACCGCCTCCTTATTTTACCCCGGTTTCCGGTATTACCGGCGTAATAAAAAAATTATGACGTAAAGCAAACTGTTGGCTTGAGCCTAAACCATTCAGAAACTGAATACATTCTATGCGACCTTAGGCTCAGTGAGAGAGAGAGAGAGAGAGAGAGAGAGAGAGAGAGAGAGAGAGAGAGAGCACTCGACGCACAGCACCTCTCTCTCTCACACACACACACACACACATCTCTCCCGCGATTTATTCAGAAATTTACTCCCACACCATAAGAAATCTGGCCGGCTCCCGCGGTACTGCAGCGGGAATGCAGAGCTGTAATCGGGCCATAAAAATTATACCCGATAGGTCCCGAGTCCGACAGGTACAGTTTGATTGACAGCTTTATAAAGCCCGAACCCATTTACAGCCCGACATTATTCAAATGTGCTCATGCACACAGCTCTAATGCATTTTTTTCAAGAATGAGTCATTTATATGTTTTAACATCATTTATTCGTAACAAACGTAGACTAGGCTATATGCCACTTGAAAGTTGGAACAAAGAAATAAAGTAAGTCCTCTGTAACATCGTAACATCTCAGCACTCTATAGGTCTAGGTACATGCACTTAGCCTTTAAATTAGCCTACACACAAATGAAAAAAAATCTTTCTTAACAAATCAAATTAAAATAAACTCTAAATGATGACGGGTATTTTGGCAATAACGAAATTAAGATAAAGGCTCTGCAAGGTTTGTTTCTCAACTTCTCTTCACAATCTGGCATTACGGCGGCGGTGAAGCTGAATATTAATAGAATAATGCCACCATTAGCCTGTATACTCTGTCTACATTATGATTATATGGTTTAATTAATATTTATTTATAATTGAAAAACCCTTTACTCACCAAGATTAGGCTACGTGTGTTTGTGGAGGAACATTATTAAATCCACAGGCTTTAGCGCAGTCCTGCGCTCACAGGGTCCAGCAGCTGAACACCCTTTACTGCAGCTACAGGTCGAGATGCAGAGTTCTGATCTGGCTGATTTTGCAAGTTTTGGGTTGGATTGTTTGTTCATCTTCTACCAGTCAGGAACATCCATTTAATTTTCCATGACAGCAGTTTTACTGTAGCGAGAGGCCCCGTCTTTTTACCTGTCAGCTTGCGGTTTAGGGCTCTACCGTAATTCGCAGTGTATGAGCGACCGCGAAATACTTGCGGCTGGAATGCGCTCTTTCTGAGCTAGTGACTGGCTTGACCGCCGTAATAATTCGCTTTTTTTACTACTTCATCATCATTTGTTTCACCTTTGCAGTGATGGATTTTAATGCAGGGATTTAGATTTTTCGGGTCTCGCCGGGTTCGGGCAAAGATCTTTAGCTCTAATGCAGACCTCTCGTTCATATTAGCCACGTCTCCCTTCTGTTCAGTCGAAACTCCCAAACTGCAGGACACTTTGAAGCGCGACACGTCACGTCACCTCTCCCTCTCCCCCTCCCTCTTCCTCTCTCTCTCTCCTCCACACTGTCCCGTGATGACAATCACACATACGTTTTTGTAGGCATTAAATAAAGGATATTTAATATTTTATGACGGTATAACGGTATTGAAACTGACACCGTTGCTATTTTTAGATCCCGCGGTATACCATAATACCGAAATACCGCCCAAGCCTAATCCCACCTATGTCCTATACCTTTCAAACTTTCCAACATTTAAACTTGGAATGATTTTTTAAAAAGTTTGTATTTGCTTTCCAAGTGTTTTTTTGTTTTGTTGCAGATTTAACGATCTACATATTGACAATTGCTCCCCCTTTGTAGTAGACTTTTACAATAAATAAAATAAAAAAATAAACTAAATCCTACTTAATAATAATAATAATCATTAATAAGTAGGATTTTTTCATTTCTTAATAAATAGCCTACTGTTAATTACAATCATTAGCCGTTTATATATGAGTATGCATAGTACTATGATAATTCAGCCGTGAATTATGTCGTTGTTTGGGAAATGCACCCCAGGTAGGGTTGGGCTGATAGACGATGCCATCGTCCATCGCCGATGGCGGATAAACAACACAATGCTAAGCCGCTAAGCGAGCTAATTTCTCGCTTGCGAAAAATACACACTCATACTATTTGTATTTACACTAATACATCTTAGTATTCAAACGGCATTTTACAAGGAAAATGATTCACATCCACACTGTGTTTTACCTAGCATTTCTGAAAAGCCCTCCGTCCACTGAAAACGCACATAACTTGACCACACACACACACACACACACACACACACACACACTTTCATGCGCTTGTCTGAGCTCCAGAGAGCAGTGCAGGTCGGACAGTTTTCAAGAATGTACCGCTGGATCGCGTCTCTCACTATAGTTGTTAAACGTGATATTTAATTCATCTCGTCTCTTTCTAAAACTCTTCTGTCTTTTGAATCTATCAGGTAATGTGTCACAGCATCAGTACACTGCTTCAATCTTTCACTTTCAGTACTTGGTCATTTTAGTGAAAACCTCAGATACTGTAGGTTGGGCACCTTTTTTACCAACCAAGTTTGTCGACGCCATTATAACGACACAGATCACTTCCTATTCATGCGTAAAAAGTGATTGACAGGTGGTAATTTGTGTGTAATTTATTTATTTCTGATTTGTTTATGGGTAAAACAAAGACCATATGGGTCAGGAAGTTGAAACAGTGGGCTACAAATAATTAATTAGTTATACATTAATTAATTATTCATAAAAAATGAGTTCACCTCCGCCTATAATGACGATGCCATCGTCCATCGTGATGTTTCACATTAGACATCGTACAATGCCAAATTGGTCGATATCGCCCAACCCAAACCCCAGGTTGATATTAGCTATAAGTTGAGCTATAAGTAAAATTCTGAAACCTTTGCTATTAGTGACAGCAGTGGTTATTACATGAACTGAAGCTAGAATGTTTATCCAAAAAAGAAAAAAGAAAAAAAGAAATCTTTTGCTTTAAATTACTCAATCTTTTGTCCCTCTTTATAACATATATGAAGGTATTTGTAATAAAACCTGAGATGTCTGTATCTCAATTGATAGTCTATTCTATCAAATAATAGGATGCTTCTCTATGAGCCAATACATTAAAAATAATCCATGTTAGTCAGTCAGTTTAATCCAAACCTTGTGTAGAGACACAAGCATGATAATATGAACAAATTAAAATTAGGCTTTGCCCACAGATAAATAGTAATATCAAACTCGGAAAATGCTTGCTCGATGGTTGAATTTTCTTTTTAACAAGACACATCATAAAGTTGTAGAGAGTAATGCGATATTTACAAAGCAAAAAAATCTCAATATTTTGGGGTATTTGTATGCATAATTTTTGTTTTATGTTGGTACCATGCTTATTCAGGCTTGTCATGGATAAATAATATGACATTAAACCAGGAGTGTGTGGCAGCAAGCCCCTAAAAATGAGGGATTCATCAAATAATTCATATAAACAATTTGTTCACAATGGCTGATTTGTTTAGAAATTCAGTAATGATTGTCTTAATCAATCATTAAATCCTCAACTTCAGAGAATTGTATTAAAGTAGATTGATTCAAGAACAAAAACTAATGATTGTCTAATGTTGATTGTAATGTTGAATGTAGATGAACAAATATTCTGCTTTTTCTCAAAATAAGAAGACAATGTTGTGTCTACAATGCTGAAATGTTGTATAAAATCATTATCACGTTTGCTACTTTGATCATGCACAAATATCCAAGAAAATGTCACTCCTGCTTGTGTGTGCATT